ATGGAGGCCGCTAGGAACACACATTTTGGAAGTGGCAGCTAGTTTTGGTGCCTCTGTTTCTGGGAGTCCATCTGGAGATGCCCGGGGGCTGGGCTGAGGGACAGGGCAACAACAACCCATGTTGACTGTGGATGGAGCTGTGGCTGCTCCTTACATCTAAAAACAGCCTCCAAGTGTTTCTTGACAGGCTCTCTCAAACTGGGGGCTGCTTGCGAAGGGAGTAAAGGAAAAAGCAGAGCAGCAAGATCCTTGGTGTCACACATCACAGGGAGTTTAATGACCCATCTGGCTTGCGTGGTACAGCTCTTGCAAGGGCAGGGGACAGTTTCTGCTGGCACAGCGCAATACAGTCCTGTAGGAAATATCACAGGAGTCGCATCCCTACGGCTGCTGAGTCCTTCTCCAGATCCCCAAGTGACATCTCACACTTGCCTCCCCCAGGCCAGAGAGCAGCCAAGGAGTTATTTGTGTGGGAGAGGGTAGATTAGCGTTTCCACAGTAACCCTCTGAAAGCACACAACTGAGTGCCCCCCATGGGTGGCACCATTGATGAGAAGGACAAGAGTGGCATCTCACAGGTGGGTGGCAGAAATGGCCTCCTGGGAGCTGACCACGCTGCACCCATGAGAGTTGTGTAGTGATGTGGGTGAGAGAGGCGGGTGGGGAGAGGTGGTCTTCTCACCCTCCAGGCTTTTCCTTCCCTTCAGGACCTCAGCAGCAGCCATTTCCACCTCCGCCATCTCCATTTGGCAGGCAGCAGCCATCTCGTTCCTCGTCACCGTCACAAAGGATGGGTCATGGGCCAGAGTGCTGAGGCCTCCGCAGATCAGAGCCTGCAGCAGAGGGAAGGGACACCCATCTCAAGGGCTGCTCAGTTTGTGCCAGGGATCCTCCCTGACTTGAGTGCCATTGATCTCCCTGCCTCGTGGCTGAGGCACCTCTAGTGGACCAGGGAACATTCATAGAACAAGGTCTAGAGCAGTTGTTTCCAACCTTTTTTCATTTGTGGACCGTTAAAAAATTTTGAATGGAGGTGCAGCCCCCTGTGGATTGTAAGTGTAGGTATTCACATACTCTTGATCGATCATAGTCATCTTTTGCAGACCCCTTACAAAATAGTCTGTGGACCCCCAGGGGTCCGCAAACCACAGGTTGAAAACCACAGGTCTAGAGGACAGTGTGAGCAGGTGCCATGTATGCTCCCTACACAGCCCCGCCAGTGCCCCCCACATCCTGACCTGCAGCCCCTGCTATAATATCCCTGGACTCCCCACACCCAGCTCTTCCACTGCCCCTCAGTCCCAACCTGCAGGCCCTCAGTTATCAAAGAATCTTTAAAAAGTAGAGCTAGAAGAGACCTCCAAAGGTCATCTACTCCAACCCCCTGCCTGAGGCAGGATCATCCCTTTTCAAACCATCCTTATCTAATCTATTCCTAAAAACTATGTGGTCAGCCCTGCTGCACAACCACAAGGAATATTACTGGGACACCAAGAGCACCAGTGACTGCCACAGGTAAAGTTGGTGCCCTACTACTGCAAGGGTTGGCACTTGAGAGCCAAGGAAAAGAGCCATACCACCCACTACTGAAGAAAGCAAAACCTCCCACAGCCTGTACCTATCTGACTATGGAGTAAAATTCCTTCTCGATCCCAAATGTGACAATCAGCCTGACCCTAAATGGAGGGGCAAGACCCTCCAGCTAGGAACCTGTGGGAGCACTGGCACACCACCCTCAAAATCTCCAGCCTTGGCTGCAGCCAACACAATGCTTCTGAGGAAGGCTAAAAGAAACTCCTGACACCTGTAGCAACAGAAGGGGAAACACTTCCTTCCCAGGCCAATGTGGCAAGCAGCAAAGCCCAGAAGCATTGGAAAGAAAAAACATTCTCCATTCTGCTCTGCAACCTGAGGACAACAAGCATAACGCCACACGTCACCCCTGCCTGGAGAGCCAGAACTCCCTTTTCTGTATCCTTTCCATAAACTTATCTCAGGTCCTTTAATCTTCTTTCACAACTAAGCCAGTTGGAGAGGTCTGCTTCACTCTCCTGCTGCTGAGTGTGGTCCTCTTTAGCCCTTCTTGCCCTTATGACAGAACCCACTGCTGATCTTGGCTTTCACTCTGGGATGGACAACTGGCCACTGACTCCACTTCAACATCTGGTAGATAACCTTTGACTCCTCTAACCAGCGATTGCTCTCTTTCCCCATTCTGTCCCTGGACCCAAGGCTGGTCACTGCTGCTATTCTGTCCTGCTACCTACAGCACTCTGCCCCATACTGCTTCCAGCCCAGGAGCAGAGGACTCCTGAACCAGTTTTCTCCCCAATAACCAGTTCTCTCCTCTGTTGGTCCCATGTGGGAGAAGGCTCCACACAGCATTACCTCCTGAATAAGTAAGGTGGTGGCTGGTGCAGAGGCAGCAGGGTCTTCCTCCCTGTTCAGGTCACTGTCACCATCCACTTGCCATGCTGAGCGTTGCACTTCCCCTTCCTCCACACCCTGTTCGTGGGTGGTGGCCTCCTCTCTGGGCATCTGGGCAGCAGGAACAAAGAGTCACAGCTCAGACAAGGTAATTTTGAATGTGCAGCAAAAACCTCTTGTCCAGTGGGGTCTCTGCTGATCCAGGGACCTGCAAGTCTTCCAGTTACTGCTCCCCTGGCTGGCTGAACCCTGTGGAAGCACACTGTTCAGATGTCTCTGGCCAACCACGGTTTTTGCTACCTGCTCTGTGGCACCCTTCTGGAAAGAGACTGTGGCCTCCTTTCAGACACACCTGCCCACCCTTTGCCATTCCCCAGTGGCCACCTGTTAACAGCTGGGTGCCCTGTTCATTTAAGTACACTGATGAAAGTTTTGTTAGTGCCATTACAGGAACAGAGGGAGCCATATCTTGGAAATCCAGTTCACGCATAGTGCGCTGAGCTCAGAGTTTCAAGCATGGTTACGAGTGTTGCTCTGACCTGGGGCAGGGATCACTGTGATACAATACAACCCCAGCCTGGGGAGGGATGAGGGTGCTGTGGTCTGCAAGGGTCTGTGCTTCAAGATGCACAAGGTCCTGGGCTTCTCCCAAAGGAGGTAAATGGATTGCAATGGGGTTTTCACTGGTCAGACCCAACCAGCCAACTGCAGCCCCCTGAAGTGGGAAGATCCCTTTGCTCAGACCAGAAGGTGAGGGAGCAGAAAGACCCTGACCCAGGAGGTAATCCAGGCACCTGGTAACCATGGTATTGGTGCCATGGTAAGTCAAAAGCAGCAGGGAGACCCCCAGGGAGATGCTTGCAGAGGCCATAGCAGGAGCAGCTGCACGGTGTGTGAAAGGCCAGTGACTGTCCCAGGGCCAGGTCTGTGCAGTGGGAAGCAGCAAAGCCCAGGTGGAGAGCCAAGGCTGCCCCACTCACTGCATCTGACATGGAGGCTAGGAAGCTGCTCAGAAACACTGGGCCTGGAGATTACCCCTAGGCATGAGGTCTGAAGGGTCCAGAGCCTGTCTTGGATGGGCCCCCAGGTCCCCAAGCAAGAGTCACTTGGGTTTTACCCCCAGTTATAACTGTTAAAGCCTCTGAAAACACATGTTTGCACCTCACCCTTCCTTGCTACCCCAGTGAATGCCTTTCATGTTAGTCACATATCTGAGTGGCTACTGGGACCTGCCCAGACTAGCACCTGCAGGGCCCAGCAGCTGAGGCTGGGGCAACCTGGTGCAGTAATGGTATCTACCCTGTTCTGTACCTCTGAGAGTGCCATCAGGAAGCACCCGCTCTCACATCCTCACTGCTGCACCTGTGCCAAACCCAGAAATGAGGTGGTGAAGTTGCACGGAGCATGCTCCCTGCCCACGCTATCAATCATCCCTGTCCTGGGAGCAGCTTTGCTGCTCCATTTCTGTACCATGGGACTTCTCCAGGGTGCAGTGGCAGTGATACATCCCTGCTGTTGGGGCTTGAACAGCTACAGCAGAGACACACTGAGTGTAACCAGGCCCTGCCCTCCCAGGCAGCCTGTCTATGTGCTTTTGGGAGACACCTGTCCCCCATACCTGGCCACCAGCCGGAGTGTGTGCAGGTACAGCCCACGGCCACATAGCTGCCTTAGTCTCTCTACGAGGAAGAGGTCCTGTCTACACATGTAGAATGAGGCCTCCTTCTACCCCACCTGGGCAAGTCCCAGGTGTCTGAGTTGCCGCCTACACTGAGGGTATGGGCCCCACGTACCTGTGGGGGGACAATGTGCAGCCCTAACACTGGACACACCCCAACGCTGGCTGCTCGTCTCCTGCTCAGCTCCTGCTGCAGCTTCTCCTGGTGGGAGGTGCATTTGGGTGCTGAAGAGAAGAGAAGAAGGGAGCATCAGAGGGAAGACCACCACCCGAGGGAAGAGCACCGGTGCAGAGGGGATTAGCAGGTGAGGGCCCAAGGGAGCAGCGGGCCCCAGAAGCACTCTGGAGGCCTCCTCAGGTGCCAGCTAGCACTGGTTTTCCTATCACACATCACTGCTGGAGCCATGTCCTGGCCCTCTTCCCTCCCCTTCACTCGTTACATCCCATGAGAGGCAGTGGGCAACAAAAATGTCTCCGGCTCAGGTAGAAAGAGTTCAGCTGCTTCCATCTTTCACAGCAAAAGGTCACAGGAGCATCCCTTGGCCGTGTGCCTCGCACATGCCTGCCCCTCTGCCCCACCATGATCCCCACTGCTGCAGCTCTGCCTCTCTCCATCACACCCCGCAGAGGTAGGGCTGGAAGCACCAGGAACTAACCCAATGCAGATAGCTGTCGTGTCTGGCAGGACATCTTCTTCCCTTGCAGCTCATCCTCGTACTCCACCCTGAGGAAAATGGGAAAGCAGGTCAGGCTGTTCTCAGGATTTGCCCATTGACTCTTTGACCATTGCTTCCATTGACAAGCATCAATCACCAGGCACAATTCTCACCCCTCCTTTCTTTTCCCATTAACCCATCACTGCTCCTCTCCCCACTCTTTTCCTTACCCCCTCTAATTTTGTCTCCTCCCTGCCACAACCTTTTCATCTTACAGCCCCCTCCATACAAAGAACACTATTAATGGTAGCACAGACACCAGCAGTACTGCAGCCCAGCCCACGAAATCCCAAACTTGTGGACCAATGGACACCACAAACTCTCAGCATTTCTTACAGGCCACCATGAATCTGCACTGTCCACCTTTTAACTGAGAAGTGGGGCTGGTGCCCTACAGTCTTGTGGACCAATAATAATCTGCAGATCACAACTTGTTAGTCACTGTTAAAGAGATCAACCAGTTTACTGTATAGACAGGTATAGTTACAGGATGAACACGGAGGCAAAAGAGCGCTTCTGGGGAGACAAGACAGACAGACAGGATAGCATCACTAAGAAGTATGAAGAATTAAACCCATTGTACTTAATGTAACCCATATCTTCTACCCTGTTTCACTGCCCCCCTATTCTCCAGCCATCCTGTGTGATTTATGCTTATATACTTAGGCTAACAGTGCTACTCTCCATACTCCTCTTCTGGCTAGATGATGTTACTGTGGCTGAGTTAATAAGTTGATGCCTTTCATTCAAACAGCAGCAGCAGCTGATTGCTTTCTGATATAGAAGGTCCCTTGGCTCAGTCTCCCTGATGATCCAGCCAGGAGTATCAGGGGGCTGTGTCTTTTCTGCCTTCACCGGAGCACCCAGTCCAAATAAATCAGAACACTATAAAGGTGAGAGGGAGTGAGGAGGTTGTTTCAGAAACAGCAAGTCATGCAAGTGGACCCAACTCAACGTACTTCAGAGAGCTGCACTGCTCATGAGCAGGATCTTGGAGAGTCTGAAGGGGCATTTTCCCCAGGGATGTCTAGCCATACGCCTGCTGTCTGTGTACAGGCCACCATTTCCATCCAGCCTCCCAAACCCAAAGTTTGTTCCTAAATGAAACAACCCAGTTCTCTGAGGTGCTGAAAACACTCTTCATCATGTCTCCAGTCCAACGTTTCTATATGGTCTGCTCTCAGTATTCTGCATGGGCCACTGCTTCTTGTGTTGGCATTGCCAAATCTTGTGAGGTGCATTGTGGTGCTCTAGGGCATCTCAGGACATGATCTATGGTTTGCTTCTCCTCACAAACCATTGGTCGGTTGCATAGAGGTCCCATGATTTCATGTGAAAGTTGCATCTGCCAAGACTCACTATCAATCTGTTCAGGTTCTGCCACGTATGCCATTTGTAATTGGAACCAGATGCTAACTCCACACTGGGGACAAGTCCTTGTTGGCTCCGTTCAACAGCTTTGTCACCTAGTTTCTCCCATTCATTTTGCCAGAGGGTGATTCTGGTGATGTGGTCAACATTATGATAGAGGACAAGAAGCTATTTCTCGATGAGAGATGACAGTGCACTGGTTGCTGCCCATATGGTGGGTGGCAGTCATTTGACCAATTCTTCACCTCTGTTTTCTTGTGCAGGGACCAGGACTTCCCCACTGTGATGCAAGATGGACTCGAGGGGATCGCCTCCAGACCTCAGGTTGGGGAGGACCGGGTTAGAGAGCTTCTGGAGGGGCTGGACGTGTTCAAATCAGTGGGTCCAGATGCTCTCCACCCCAGGGTGTTGGGGGAGCTAACAGGGGTTATTGCAGGGCCCTTGGCATGGCTTTAGGAGCGCTTGTGGTGCTCAGGCCAGGTGCCAGATGATTGGAAGATATCCAACATGGTCCCCATCTTTAAAAAAGGGAGGAGGGAGAACCAGGGCACCAACAGGCCTGTCAGTCTTACCTCAATCCTAGGGAAGGTCTTTGAGAAGATCCTCAAGGAGCACATCTGCGATGGGCCAGCTTCAGGGATGATGCTTAAGGGCAACCAGCACGGTTTCATTAGGGGCAGGTCATGTCAGACCAACTTGCTTGCCTTTTATGATCAGGTCACAAAAGCCTTGGATGCAGGTGTCACCGTGGACGTAGTCTTTCTGGACTTCAGCAAGGCCTTTGACACCATCTCCC